TGTATGTAATTATAAATATACTAAGGCTGACATCTTCATTGACATTTTACAATCAAAGGGAACATCCCCAAAAAATGGGAACATCCTCTAATAAGCTCACTAAACAAATATCAGTTCACAGAAATGTTATTTAATTGGTACAAGTGGCATGTTTGTAAAGAACATGTTATTAAACAGTGGAATAAAACTATTTTAAACTATTGGAAAGATTGGAGATGAACCATTAAGATGACATACACATGAAGTCATGAACACTAACACAGACATTAGTTGTCTAACTTGAACCTAAAACACTTGTAGCCAGTCTCTGCATTCCCCTTATTCCACAATAAGGGAAATGTCAACACAGACACACGTGTCAGCCGCACTCTGCTGTTCCTCAGCGCCGCTCCCCCTCCCTCCCGCTGAAATTATGAATGAAAAGCGTAGTAATCATAGATAACACGGTAGGGTTCGTGACAGTTTGTTTTCATCTGATTTCAAATAAACAAAGTCTTGGTTTTAAGAATATTAAACTTGTTTCGCCAAATTCAGATGATAAATACAACTTTGAAGCTTGTAAAGGCATAATTACAAGAGGCAACTTAACGTCACAGCAGGCATAACAACAGCCGGTGTTTCTTGTGAGGGTTTCCCCGGGAAACAAACACAATACACACAAATGCGTCACAGATTATTTTGTGGTATTTGAAATCATGTACGCAGCTCGCGACGTAACTAGGAGTCTAGTGGACGGTATCGGTACTACAGGTTTTTATTTATGAATTACGTTGTTCATAAATTAATTAATCTGAGGGCCTCAAAAAGAGGAGGGGGGGGGCTGCCATTTGCCCATCCCTGAAATAGGGAGAGAGTTAGTATGGGAGGAATCTGCAGTGCATGCTCTCAGATGTTCAGCCTCAACCTGATTTCTCTCAGTGACCTTGTTTCTGGAGTGCATGTAAACCAGAGTCACTGCCTTTATTTCCACTGGGGTTAACTCATATTTAATTATGCACTCAGGGCATTTAAAGACATGTCCAACTGGAATATGAAACACAAACAAACATTTTAAGTACATATCTGCCTCTGATGTAAATACGAGCCGGGATGTCGTTTTCCATATGTGTTCCGCTACGTTTTTCATTAGGGGACTCCTCAGCTTTTCGAATGGGAAACTACAGTTTTCTTGGTTCCTTTCCTTGCTTTCTTTATTCACCTATCTGTGCACGTTACAGTCCAGATGCTCTCTGAATCATTTGATCAAGCTAGACATGCGATCTACGGTGGCTGACGGGTGCAAAAGCGCTACAACGGCCCAAAACACTCCAGAAACCGTGCAATTATAAAAACACGAATGTGCCAAAACACATATGACATTAAAACCTTTGAACATTTGAACATGCAGCTGAAGAAACATCTTTACCATCTTGACGAAACGTGCTGCATTTACTAAATGCGCTACAAATACAAAACACAATGGAAACGTAGACACTCAAAAGTGATGCACACAGTTGGGACCGGGACCCGAGAGCTTGTTGACGTTCTGGGCTAGCTAACGTAGTAATATCTGAAGGACTGATCCGATCACATTGTAACACCGTGATGATCAGACAGAAGGTTTCAAGTTTTTTTCCTTGGAGTCCTCTCAGCGGAGGCCAAGTGTGGTTCCTGCAGCTTGGGCAACGCTGGAGCCCTCATTCCCGCCCGGGCAAGTGCAAGTTGAAAAAGAACATTTCCAACATACTGTAAACTCTGTGGCCGCAAACACTTAGAGCCAAGGCCAACTGACAGAGACAGAAAAAAAACCTTCTACCTTGGAAAATAATCCCCTGTGCGTTCATACATGACATTTCATTATTAGCCTGCGATGTGAATACATTGTGAAAGTGATGGTGCTGCGACCAGAAGGGATGACTCATCAGTAAGTATTATCTGCACCGCCAGCAGAGCAAGACACAGTGATCCATATTAAATTATACATGGTGTTGTAGAGAACGCATCAAATATTAACACGAATCACCAGCCCTGTTGGAGTCAATCCTCACTGATGACTCCGGCTCCTCAGGACCAATTAAGAGTTCATTCATGCATTGGTTCATCGATTCGTTTCACATTCAACACAATCTCAGGCACACTTTGGAGTGAAGTTAAGTTGGGCTTTATTTAAATAAAATGTTGGCTTTGGAAAGAAAACACGTCATAGCACTTTACATTAAGGCTTGAAAAGAAAATATTTCTTATAAATGTATTTAAAGGGTTAGTATAAGTTGTATAACATTGTGTTTATAATACTTCTATATTAGCTTTTATTTTAGAACTTAATTATTCTTATAATTGTTAAGTATGCACCATTATACATCAAATCAAGTTCCCTGTATGTGTCACTTTGTCATTTTAATCCTGAATCCTAAAAAACATGGAGATTTAGTCCAAATGAAACTGGTCAACAAAAGATAGTTTGCAATATATTCTCTAAAAGGTTCTTCCAAACACAAAAGCATAGGCGTTTTAGTTTGAATGTTCAAGGTAAAGTACTCATGTTGTAAAATATGGAGGTGAAGTTAAACAGTAACAGACATCACTTACTCCAATCCCCTCTTTGCATTGGCCTCAATTTGATTTGAAAATGTATTTTTTTGTTTTCTCGTATTTTAAAGCACGGTCTGACTCCAACTTAGATTTGTGCGAGTTCACATATTGAGTCCTGACGCTCCTCAGATCATAATACAATGCGTAGCAATCCCCCGGTCTAGACTAAAGGAGAAACTGAAGGCAAGAGGAATGCTTTCACTGTCAGTGCCTCCAACTCTGCAACACTCTTCCTTTAGAAACGTATGCCTTCTTGAAATCTATACTAAAAATAATTCTTTTCTAAACCTCACTTTCTGTATTCAGCTATTTTTTTTTAGAATTGCATTCTAATAAATGATATTGTTACAGGGACTAAGAAACCAAAAGACAAACAAAATGAAATACTTTTTCATTTATAATACATATAATAAAAGTCAGAAGAAAAAACTAAAATAAAAAATCTATCAATGTATAGGATATAGTTAACAGCTAAAGGATACCTCATGAATTCTCATTTATACCTTACCTATTTCTCCATCTTTCACCAAAAGATATTCACTTTTCGTGTCCCCTGTTTCCATGCCATATATTTCATTTACAAGATCCTTCCATTTAGAGTTAATAAGGTTATCATCTTTGACTATCTGCTTACTATGAAATAACAATTCTTATTGATCTCTACTGGTGTTTATCCAAGTAGTCATTGGTCTTTCTGTGTTGTCTTTTTTAAACTTTTATAACTTTATTCGTTCATGGTCTTAATCGTCCTTCGCTTCTTTGCAAAGACTCCCATCTCTTTAAATTAGGAAGAAAGGAAGCGGATCAGTTTTGCTCCCCTGTAACACATTTCTATTCTCCTCCTTCTGATGGGAGGCGCAGCAGGATGTCCAGAGTGAGCGGTTTGAAGTCTGCCCTCTGTGATCCGACGAGACTTTTGATCAGACGGGTGCAAATTAGCCACCCTGCCCAGCCAATGCCTCCAACACACACACACACACACACACACACACACACACACACACACACACACACACACACACACACACACACACACACACACACACACACGACAGGGGGGTCTGTCAGGGCCATCCTCACAGGAATGTGTGTGTGTGTGTGTGTGTGTGTGTGTGTGTGTGTGTGTGTGTGTGTGNCCCTCTCTGTATCGTCTCTTCTTCTCTTGACACACACACACACACACACACACACTTATATACAATAACTCATTATCAGATTCCATTAATGCCCCTGCTGGGGAGCAATGCTTCTCATAAACATGTCTGTGGTGAGGAGCGTTGCAGAGTCATTTGGAAGGTGTGCAGCTCTCTGCAGGATGCAATCTGTTTCCTGCTCAAACAGATGGGCCTCCCCTCTTTGTTCAGATATCTGCACCCACAATCCCATCTCAAAACAAGACTGTGATACAGCACGAATAATAGACACTAAACCCATGTTATCTGTTGATTCACCTTTGTTTAGTTTGGAAAATAAACTTTAAATTGCTTACCATATAGTTTTTGAAAAAATTTAAATGACAGAGAAAGGGTTTTTCCAGCATTATTATGTGTTAACGATTGTGTTTGTTTAACTTTTGGTCATAAATTAATTGAGCTTGTAGAGTACTCGAGATGTATTGACTGTGGCATCGCTGAGACTGTTTGTCATCACACACACAAAGATTTCAGCAAAACTTTGTGTGTGTGTGTGTGTGTGTGTGTGTGTGTGTGTGTGTGTGTGTGTGTGTGTGTGTGTGTGTGTGTGTGTGTGATTATCACCACAAGGCTGAGTACTTTCCATTTGTTGGAAACATGTTAAACATTCAACACTGTTTCATACATTCAAACACTTTAAACTGTCATTATTTGACATGAAGCTAAATAATTAGGGTTTAAATCAAATGTTTGAGGTGTTGGGTTGATGCAATAGCTTCCTCTGCAAACTATCATTAACCACAGGATAGTGTGACTAGCATCTCCATGATTCACTGAAATAAAGCATGACTGATAACTCACTGAGTGGAGGGGTGTGAATGCCACCTGCTGGGCCTTTAGTGAAGCACCCATCCTGTGTCACTTTTCAACCACAACATGTCTGCTTTCATCCACTCTGCTTCCTCATTACGCCTTCACTGCTGCGTTGCCTCGGGGGAAATTACGCAGACGTATTGCCCCGGCTTGGTGCTCTACGCAGAGAAAATGAAACAGCGCTGGTGCGCCACTTATTTGTCCAAAGCAGAGGGTCTCATGTTGTTAGAGGGGATTTAATTCAATACAGTGTTAGGCTACCTGCCTCTGGGAGTTTGATTTGGGGGGAAAGTAAACTACCAGCTACCAGAGATGCAAATACTAGTGTTAAATATCAAGCAGCTGCTGCCACATCATATGTAAAGGAGTACAGTTTGATAATACAAAATCATAAATCATATTTAATCTCCCTATACCGACCCCTGTGATACGGTTTCCTCTATAATGGCATTACAGTATATTCGTAGAAATGACATCATCTTGGGCTAAGAAAAGCAATACCAGTTATTTTATGAAACGTGGGTGGTATTTATTTTTATTCTTTCATTCTTTGTATGTAGTATGAATAATTTCTGGGCTGACATTTATACAGCCTGACAACCGTGGCAGTGTGACAACAGAGGGATACACGGCACCTTGGTGATGTTTTTTTTTAAAGAAGGTGCATACCATTAAAATGTTCATCTTATACTGCCACTCACAAGACCAGATTTAATGTGTTTTTAAATGTCAGAGCAAAAATAAATCATAAAAATGAATTAGTTTTTGCTCACATTTTGGACACTTTGACATTAAAGCAGTACTATCAGGGGGACATAGTCACCATATCACATTTGTCTTTTATTTCACACACAAATATTAAGACATTACACACAAACTGGCACCCTTCCGACAACACAACAATACAAAAAATCATCAGATGGAGATCCAGACATTCTTTAAATTGCACAACCAAGCAACATTGTAAACAAACAGACTGACATCTCATTTGATGGGCGAGTCCAGGATCTCTTGGTAATCCTGCCGCACGGCCCGGCTCACGCGGTACAGCTTGAGCCCCGTGAGGGTGAACACACTGACCATGACCACCAGCGCTCCCATCACGTCATACACGGTCGGCACCATCCTCAGGACGATGAGCTGGAGGAACATGGCCACCACGAACTCCAGGTGCTGCACCGTGCTCACTAAGGCTGGATGAAACTTGTTTAGAGCATAGTAGACTCCGAGGAACGCCACGGTGGAGCAGATACAGATCCCAATTAAGTAGCCCCAGGTCTCCCCGTCCAGAGGAATGATTGGCTCCTGCATGACGAACATAGTGGAGGCTCCCCACACCGTGCCTGTCCAGCCGAAGGTAAAGAGTGCCGTCCACATGCTCACTCGCTCCTTGATGGATCTGTAGACGATCATGGAGAGGGCAGCGGTCAGGCCGGCCACCACTGTCATTGTGTAGCCAAAGGCCTCCTTCCAGAACGTCAGCCTGGACTTCTCCTCGTCCGCCACGTTGGGCACCATGACCAGGCACAGGCCGAACACGCTGCCCACCACCGTGACCACATCGGTGTAGCCCAGCCTCTCGTCCAGCAGCAGGAAGGCCAGGATGGCGCTGAACACCGTGGTGGAGGCCCGCCACATGATGGTGCCGTTACTGGGCGGTACTATTGCGAAGGAGGTGTAGGCGCAGGTGATTGAGATTACATTGCACACACCGTAGAAGAAGAGTCGCAACCGGTAGCCCTTAGGGCCAAAGGGCGCCTCGTGGTAGTAGAAGACCACCAGGATGGAGAGCAACTGGATCACGGAGCGGATGAAGAGCAGCTCCAGGGAGGGCACTTTGGAGCGGTCGGCTGCTAGACGAGTGATCAGAGCCACGCAGCCGTGAGCCACCGCTGCCCCGAACAGAGCCATCCAGGTCACTCTGGAGGCCAACACATTCGCCTCCCCGAAGCTCGCCAGCTGGCCCCCGACCCCCTTGTCTCTTTGCACACTTGGCTGCTTGGGCTGGGTCTCCATGGTGCCAAACAAAGTCCTGCTACCTTTGCTCTCCGACACCAGTCTCTTTCCCGTGTTAGCCTCCGCGAAGGCGCCAAACTCCTCAAAAGATGGCGCGTCATCGTAGCCCTCGTCGCCGGGCTGGGGGAAGTGTGTGGCGTATTTGACTGTCACCGTGTTGGGGTGGATCTTAACACGCTTTTTGGATCCATACTGCAGCGAGGATGAAGATCCATCCATGTTTCCTTACGCGTCAGAGCGGGTAACCTGGGAAAAAATACATCAAAGTAATTTTTTATTGTGCGGAAATAATATTCAAATATGTTCCAGTGGTGTGGTTTTATTCCCTTATCAACACAGAGCTTTTCTTTGCATAATTCACAAGTTATTTTTTCAGAATCCACCCCTCACACCCCCCCACGCACAGATAAAGCGCACACTCACTGTAACACCCCTCTCCCTCTTACCTTTTTCACTCTGCCAAGCCTCACACTTGTGTTGTGTTACTTCTATATATAGGCTTTCCCATGCGAGCTCACACAAGCCAAGCAGCAAACACTGTGAGGATGATGCAGTCTGATGGGGATGATATTACATAACAGGAAACCACAGAGGGGACGATACATGAATGTGGGTCATCTATGAGATGAATGGACTTGCACACTATAAATTAACAAACACTGGGAGTGGGAAACGGGTAAATCCATGGTTTGAAGGAGAGATTTCGCATGCTTTCAATGGGATTCGGTTTAAGGGTGAGATTATAATGCTGTAAAATAAAATACAGGGGGTCAAGATATTAGGACTAAATAACATTGCTGCAACTAAATCGTTTCAAGATTATTTAAACTACTCCATTCATTCCGTCCATTTCTTTTCCACACAGCATGATGTGAAACCACAAGGGGGCAGACGGGGACCCTTAAATGCCTCCTGTCCTCTCTAATGCGATTGCTCCTCCTTTTTTGAAACATGCAACTTGTACCTTAATAGGAAACGATGTTAATAAAATATTAAGTCGAGGGGAATTGGTCGAAAATAATGCATTTTATCATTTTGTTTGACGAGAATCCTTAAAAATCATGCATTTGGCGCGAATAGCCATGTAACGATGGTTTAGTATCTTAATCTTGCAAAACATGAAATTCAACGCGTTAATAAATGCACGATCGGGTCACGTGAACTATGAAAAAAACCTAGTTTAATTAAGCTTCAGTCTTGCAAAGAGCGTCTTTCCGACATAGATTTTGAAAAATCGTAATCAACTATTTCCCCCATGTTAAGCGTTTGCATAGTATTAATTGAGCTCAGAAAGAAACATCGTCTTACCTTTTTGATATCTGAATAGTTCCTAATGAAGCATGAACCCGGGTTTGTCTCATATATGAACACCTCGTTCTTGATCCTTACATTTGCTCAAGTGCCATTTCCCCATCTTCCCTCCTGGAGATGCTTATTTGTTCTCGATGCTGCTGCTGCTGCTGCTGCTGCTGCTGCTGCTGCTGCTTGAAACTGCTGTTGCTCAGGGCGATGATGATGATGATGATGATGGTGGTGGTGGTGGTGGTGGTGGTGGTGATGAAGCTGAAGCAGGGGGGGGGGAGAAGCAACTGTCACTGTCACAGCCTGTGCTCCTCATCCTCCTCCTCCTCCTCCTCCTCCTCCTCTCAGAGACTGATTCCCACCTCATTCGTCATCTCTCAGAAGGGAAAGGGAAGTGCGTCTGCAGCTCATCACCATCATGTCTCATGTTTATGGGTTTTATGGGAAGGGGGAGATCTGATTTGAGTATAATTCATTCTCTTAGAGAAGTACTCAGATTTTGTACTTGAGTACAAGTAGAAGTACCGGAGTGTAGGAATACTCTGTTACAGTAAAAGTCATGCATCAAAATGTTCCTCAAGCTCTTACCTCTTCTGTATGTGCTTTCGCCCGTTTAAATACAAATGCAATTAATGTTAATTGGTGTTGCAGCTTCAAGTGATTGGGAGTCCCGTAATCCTCTCTGGTATCCTCTCATTTGGGGCCGGTGTGAGAGGTCATTTCACTTACTGCTCACAGCCAAGAGCAATACTATCTGTCTTACTCCAGGAGGATCGCTTTTTCACTTTCTAAATACAATGATCTATTACCAGGCTTGGGGAGTAACGGATCACATGTGACGGGAGATTACATTTAAAAAAAGAAACTAACATAATTTCAATGTTAATATGAATAAAATCTCTGAGCACAGGACACATTTTTAATCCTAAATATCTTGGTTTCTTATTTTCTAAGGTCACATTGATCTGTTGTCTTACATAATACACTTAAGTAAAAAACATATCTCTTGTATTTATTTGAAATGCATTTG